TTTTATTGGCCACAGGAAGCATCTAAAACAATGAAAGAAACTGCTCAGGGAAAAGCATTTCATGTTAACTATACAAACATATATATATATATATATTCAGTTTATTTTACAGAAAGCTCAATAAAGTATCAACAAGCAACATAAGCCTTTCAAGGGTATATGTTATGCAGCAATAATCCATGATGAGTGCCATAGATGGCTGACAATACAAAGCAGGGAATTAGCCCAACACAATTTACACCCTATTGTGCACTTCTGCCTAATTTAACAGCAAGAACTCAGCTTCCCCTGTGTGTTTCTATAAGCATTTAACAATAGAAGCTTCATTCTAGAGATTTTCCTTCAAAATAGACCTGATAAAATCCTTACTGTGACAGCAGATGGTGATAGAGCAGATGTATAACTGGACCTGAAAGTTCAGTAACTGTCAGTCAAAAGCTGCTGAATGGCTACTCTGGGGAACAACAGTAACAGCATACTGAGAAATAATTAATTCAAGTCATGCAAAATCAGGAAAAAAAAAAAAAGAGAAAACAAAATATTGCTAAAGAGAGGGAATGAAAACAGTTCTTAATGTACTTCTGGAGCAGACGATTTATTTTGAGGACATGTCATCTTTCAGTGGAACACTCTGTTTAATCACTGCACTTTAAAAACAACAATACAATAGCAATGGAGGCTACTAATTAGCAATTAATAATAAAAAAAGGAAGTCATGTTGTGTTTCATACAGATGTTATCCTGATCAGTCCACCTGAGCAATGGAATTCAACTTTTTAAATGCAATAGAGATGCAACACATCTGCAGCAAAGGACTCTGGTTTGATTGACAGGCAAGCCAGTCACTATGACATTTGTGTGTGCTCACCTTTATACAGCGCATATAAGTTAGGTTTTATTAAATAACTCACTAAGCCAAATTTTTGGAATTGATTTTAAATGAGATTGTTCTAACTGTAGAACTTTAGTCAAGCTGAAGGACAGCCTATCAAACCAGAATATGAGGTGATATTACATAGCTGATCTGGTACAGCTGCATGTAGGTTTTTTATTAAATTATATAAAAAGCAAGAATAAATGGGCATAAACATGTATATTTTTAAACATCATCAAGAATGCAAAATTTCTGCAAAACAATGGGATTCATGGCAACTGAGTGCTGTGGAATATGACATGCACAATTATACCCCAGTTTCCGGCCTTAGTGTGACAGTTCATTATGTCATGATGTTTTTAAATTGAGTCAAACAGTTGTGGAGGTGAAAAACTCTTTCTCATTCTCATATAATTCTTGTTATAGACTGTTAACTTTGAATAGGACAGCTACCAATTATTTTCCATAAAAGTAGAAAAATTTTAGAGGCAAAGATTATTCTTTAAAATTAAAATGATTTAATGAAAAGTTCTTATCTTCTGCAAAGACAAGACAAATCTTTCAAAAATGCTCATGCTGCCTGTAGATAGAAGAGAAATAATGTTCAACTTAAAGTATTATAGCATTCTTCCCCATTATATTTTTTTGTGAATTTGACATTGACGAAAGGTGGAGGGTTGTAGCCTTTGAATTTGTCTTAATAGAGATGAGACATACAGCATGAGGAATAAAAGTTTTAGATGCACTGCTCTGCCATGATATTCTAATATTCATGTGAAACTTTGAGATTTGACTTTTGTCCATGTAGTAGAGAAGCAAGTCTATTTATTACATTTCTGAACATGTATGTGAACATAGCCATAATCCAATAAAATGAAAAATCAACTCTCTGAGTTTGTCAGGTAATGAATCTGCTTTGTACCACTAGCTTCTTGTGAAATAAGCTAAAACTGAAATCAGAGGGTTACGACTTCCTTGACTGCAACTTATGAACATTGTACTTGTACATGTAGGGGCAGTGGGAGATTAACTGAAAGCCATACTAAGATTTAGATCTAAACCGTGAATTCCTAATCCAATAGGTAACCAATTCATCCTCCTGGCATGACAACCAGTAAAAGCCAAATCCCAATGAATCCCAAATGAGAGTTACATGTAGTACAATCTCTGGTAGTTGGAGGCAATACATTTGGTTTCCCACCCTGAGAAGGATCAGATTTTACAAGGACTGTCTAATGATGATTTCTCTACATGGTATCAAGTCAACTTTCAGCCAAGACCAGCACATTTGGAAACTCATGGTGGCTAATATAAAGACTGGAAACTGAAAAGGAATGGACAGTGCTTGTCCTCATTACTGAGGTAGGGTGCGTTTTCCTATCATTTGGAAAGCGTTAGCAGGGAGTCGATGATACCTTTCTGAATCACCTGCCTAATGATGGCTCTCGCAGGAGCTGACATTTGCAGTAATCAGTGTAAGAGCTGAACAGAACTGATGAGTTCCAAGGGAACATGCCTGTGTTTACGCTCCCATCTTGGATGATCAAATAGAGAAGCCTCTGGCTGAAGCCTTAAAATATTCCATTCTTTGTGCCTCTCTGCTCTGAGGTCTGTATAATTTTTTCTCTGAAGTTATGGAAATTTTGTCTAGGACACTATATTATTTTTAGTGAATATTTAAAGTGTTCATTATATTTTGAGTAGCAAATTATTTAATTATTTTTTTTCTCACACCTGGAGGCCCCCTCAGGGCAGCCAGGCAGGCCATAAAGCACAGGGGGAGAACTCAGCCTGGAGTTTTATTGTGCATGTGAAAGGTGTTGTTATAAAAGCAGAAAAACAGGTTTCTGCCTTTGCCTTCTCTACCAGCTACATTGCAGCGTTCTCGACTTTAGCCACAGCCTGGTGTCTGGTGTTACCTGTGTGCATATCAAGCCTTACATACAAAAAAATTATAAGTGAAAATAATCTTGAATTATCCTGCTAGTGCTCATTAAAAAAAATGAGTATTTGTTAAGTGAAATTGAATATGCACACTTTTTTTTAAAGCAGAAGAGAATGATAACAGCTCCTGATATGTTTGAAGAAAGAAATTAAAACTAGCTGTTCAACCTCTTAGACAAAAATGTGTTTTATTTAAAAAAATCAAGATGGCAAATGTATTCAAATATGATAATTTAACTTTTAGATAAATAAAGATGTCTTGATATAAGTAAAAAGTCTTGTTCCTTCCCTGCATACCATATTAATGTTTGCTGCACATCAGAAGACAGAAATTAACCTTACATTTGTGTAGCCTTTTCTGACTCTACTCCGAAACACTATTTAACTTAAATTAGGTGATATTTCCTAGCTCCTTCTATGATAAAAACTGCAACCTTCTTTACATAAGATATGCCCAAAACGGAGTCTAGTTTTGAATTTAATGTTCCCTAAAGATCAATAAACCTTTTTCTTCTCCAGTATTTGATGGGCATCAAGACCTTACCAGTCTCACTGTCCATCAAAATCAGCCTCTCTCTTTTCAGTTTGCTCTTTTGGCTGAGCTTCTTGAAATGCTCTATGGTAATTCTTTTCGAATATAATCATTGGTGCTGATTGGAAAAGAATGAATTATATTGCAGGCTGCCCTAACAGATAATATGATCAACAAGCTATTCAAGCTACAAAAGTTACTTTTGCTTTCCACTGGAATTCTAATGAAGAGGACAATGCCTTACTGACCCCACATGCCAAGGGTTCCAAAACAGCAGAGATCCCTGAATTATATGTTAGACTGCTGAGACATTATAACTGTTGTTCATATTTTTGTTGTCTTTTTTTTTTATACAGTAATAAAAGCAAAGAGGTAAGTTCAGGGTAAGAGTGAAAATGGAGCTAGTTAACGGCTTTTTGTTAACTAGCCATTGTTTTCTTCCTTTTTTTGAGATAGGAGCATTTCTTTGCCACTGTCAGCAACTGATGTTATAGGAACTATTCTGAAAATGCCCAAATGCAAGTGTTATCTTCAATTATTGTAGCTTTGTTTATATTCACCCATATTATTATTATTAATAGTATTTGTATTATTGTTATTGTGACTAACTGTTATGATTTGTGGACCTTCTCATTAAGAAAACAGAAAACAAAATAGTAGTTATCTACCTCCCTTGTGAGTTACACTCAGAACAATTCCATAGTAATAAGGTTGGACCAGAGACAGGATACTGAGAAATATGTTGACTAACTGAAGATATGGTGTAAGGGAGGTGAAAGCACTTTTCTTCCTCTGTCTTCTTGAAGGCAGGTTTACAGCTCAGTCCTATGTAAATTTCTCTCCTTCTGCAAGGAGGTAATTTTTTCCTTCTTATGAATCAGATTTCTCTGTTTCTCCTTATTACCTTAAAATGAAATCACCATTATATAATAGTTGTGATACACAACACATGCATTCTTAATTAACTTTACAGTGTACTGAACTTTAGCTTGAATATTTTTACTCATATTTTATTTACATAGTTTTCTAAATGATATGTTGATCCTTTTAAGGAGGTGTGGCTGTTGTCCATTCTTACTACGGTCTCTAGCAACTAGAACCTCACAATTTCAGCCTTGAACTTCAAGCTGCCTGTAGGTTTGCTTCCTTAAAACAAACTGTGGGAAGAACAGATTTCTCAAAACAAAAAGATCTATCCCTCCATGCCATAGATCCAATCCCCAGATACACAGCTGTAGAGAATAGCAGCAATTGTGTTCATGAGGCATTGTACAAAAAACGATCCCTATTCAAGGGAAAAAAAACCCCACCGAAAACCCATACATTTTTAGAATTTTAGAACCTTGATGGATTCTATCTAATTCTGTAAAGCATAACAATCTCACTCCTCCTTTTATAGTAAAATTGGTAAGATGAAGAAAATTGTGTATATATATATATTCATTAAATAGATTTTGAAAAGATTAGGTATGTTCTTACTTTGACAAAACACTCCAGTTCCCTTTGAGTTTAGAATATAAAAACAGTAAGGAACTCTTTAAAGAAAATCTACTGAGAATTCTTCTCTTAGAATAATGCACAGATACCACACAATTAAATATAGTTATATAGAATTATAACTCAAACAACCCCAACCTTTCTTTTTCTTACCTGCTGGTTTACGGGAAAATTCCTGTTGATTTTTTTAATCTATAAAAATGAATAAAGAAATAGATTAATACTCAGTCACTAGCAGAAAAGCCAAAACCAAAACATTGGATATATCAGACACTCCCTTCCAAATTATGCATGTAAAAAAGAAAATAAAATCTCCTGCAGTAAAGGGACTGAAAGTTTTTACAAGCTCATGTGAATAATGGGACATTTCTGGGGTTATTTTGAGGTTCAGTCTGATGCTCAGAACACAGGAGAGGACACTACGTGCAAAAAAAATTGCTGGATTCTACCAGAGAGGCAAATACATGCAAAATTATTTGAATTCTATAACAATATGTCTTTTTCTTTTTTCTCAGATTAGAAGCTATAAAATAAACTGAAATATTTAACTGTAAATAAAAGTAATTCACGGCAACTTACTGCCAACCACTGAAGTCACCAAGCTTTAAGCAATTTTTTTTCCTTAAAGAATCATGAAAATTTGGGGTGGAACAGCCTTGCAAACATCCCTTACTCTACTGTTTTATCCTATGTGCAAAATCAAGTATGCAGAAACAGTTGCAATAATTGTTCAAGTAATTTTTCTTAAACATTCAACATTCAACCACAGCCCCAAGTAAAAAGTAAAGAGAAAACCACTCTGAGATACCTGATTCATGAGAAGTTTGTATTTAGCACTGCAGTTCATGGACTCCCTCTAAATAAACATTGCCAGCTTTCTGACAGAAAAGTGTCCAATACAAAGAAAATTATGTGTGGAGCATACCCACTTCCACCATTACTAAAACAAATGTGTTCTTCTTTAATTTATGCATAAACCCTGAAAGCTTTTGACCAAACCTAGTAAATCTAAAGTGTGCATTCGGGACAGATCCTTAATATCTAGAATTCATTTTCTGCTCTCTTATGGTAATTTTTAACAATTTTTTTTTTTTAGTTATGGGTAAATGACTAGAACACATATTTAAAGACATTGCCAAATAGGAATCTATATAGAATATACCTGAATAATCCAAAAAGCCCTGAAATCACAGTAAAACATTTACACTGCTTCAACCTAGGTGCAACATCTTTTTAGAAGAAAAGAAAAATCATCACTGAATTTCCTCCAGTGTTTACAATATCATCCCCAAACAACTATATGCAGAGATGTGAGTGGCACTGTGTTTTGCAGACTTCAAAACCACTCTATGTTTGCTGCAGTGGTAAGTTCTTTGCATTTCTCATGCAAATACTGAGCGAGTCTGCCCCCGACATCCCATAGTTTTGCTATCAAAGGATAATTCTCACTGTCAAGAACATCCTGGCAAGCAATTGCAGTTGTTTTTCAAATGTATCCTGAATCAAAAGTGTCAGAAGTACATTTCCATCCTTCCTTCTTGCATTTACATCAGCGTCAGCTTCCTCCTTTCTTCAGTGTTAGTTAAGGGGAAGCACTAGAGGAGATGCGACATTCAGTGGCCAAAGAAATAGTATGAAATTATAAGATACTTATAAGATACCAACTATCTTACATGAATTTTTAAAAGAAAAGGCAGATGAAACCCCCTTTTTAATAGAAAAAACTTATTTGAAGGCTTTTGGGATTTATTCCTAAATCAAACATTAACTACTCCAGCGTGATAAATCCCTGTTTGTGTTAGTAGAAACTATTAAAATTCTTGTCAAAACTGTTTATTTTCATCTAGTTTAAGCAAAGACAAATACCCTGAAAATTTTAAGTTATGAAAGAACACTGTCAAGAGATTTTACTATTCTAAACAAAATACTGAAAATATCTATTAAGTAGCAAATTACAGTTACATATTAAATAATTCAAGAGTATTTTTGTTTACCTCACACATAGAGACTAATTCTTTTAAACAGATATAAAGTACATTAGGAGCCTTGTGTACTTTGAATGTTCCCGTGAATTGCAAATGCGTAATTGGAACATCATTTTCTCATTCAAAAATTTCCAGCTAATTTTCTAAAGTACAATCTAGGCACCAACCATAGTTGTGCACCAACCATAGTTGTCTAAACTGTTGTTACTTTGATTAATTCAAATAACTACCTTTATCTTTCAGGTAATATGGTGACGATTTCCTGAAACACATTATTGTTCATTCTGTTATAGTTTGCAAACTCCAGTATAGTTTGTTCAAGTCTACCCAGAGCTGAGAATTGTTAAGTGCAATTAGTTTTAGTACCACTTAAATGTTTGTCATTCACATGCATAAATATTGGACATTACAGGAAAAAAAACTTTACAATTAGGCAACACACAGAAAGAAAAACATTAGCCAACAGTGTTCTTCCCAGAATGTTACAATGAACGTTGAGTAAAATTTAATCTACAAGTGATCCAGATCTATAATCCTTAAGAATTAAAACCTAAATGAAAACAATTTTCATAAATTAAAAGAGAAAAAAAAAAATCTTCTCTTACTTGATGGATTATCTAAAAGAGAAATGCTTCTTCAGTTAACTCATGTGCATGAATAATATGCTTTTCATCAGAGGACATGAGTAGAATACACTTCAAACATATATGCAGGCAATATTTTAAACTAAAATACATTGGCAGATACCATACTAAAAAAAAATAATTTAAAAAAATAATAGGCACTCTGAGAATATTCTTAATATTCTTTAGAAATATATGTTTAGATGTGTTTCTCCAGAGTAATTAAAAATCAGGAATGGTACAAAAGGAGACAAAAGAAGAAACTAGAAAAGAAATTCTGTTCTGAAGTAAAGATAGAGGAAGCATTATGTAAGCTGCAAGAACTATCTGCTTCTACTTCCTGCTAAAAAAACAGGTGCTGAGGGGTGATATTCTATTCTGGTTCAACTTCCATGAATGCAAATTAGGGAAAAAAAATCTAAAAATACCACACAGAAAGTAATTTGGGAACTGGTGATCACCTCAACATGGAAAAAGGAAGAAGGTGTCAAAAATAAGGTTTCTGCAGTATCTTGAATCTGACTAATAAATAGGCCAGTGGTGTTGATACAATACCAATAATGAAATCATAGAATCATAGAATTGTTCAGGTTGGAAGAGACAGTAAAGATCATCTAGGTCTGTCTCCTACCATGGGCAGGGACATCTTTCACTAGACCAGGTTGTTCAGAGCTCCATCCAACACTTCCAGGGATGGGAAACATATATTTTAGTGAAAGATATCACAGCGGATTGGTTTGAAGCATAACTGATTGTTGGCAGTACAAAGAGATTTGACTATATATGTTTCAAAAATTCAGCTGGACAATATATTTGGACATCATAGACATGAAAAATTAGAATATTGGTCAGGGAGATGACAAGAAGTAGAACATAGAGAGGACCATGGCCAAATTCAGTAATTTTTGTGCACTAGATGTTGCAATCACAGATGGACAGTTTTCACAGTGATGGCTGTACTTGTTCTGCAGAAGAAATAAACGAAAACATCCCTTCTCAGCAGGTATTCAAATGAGCAGGCTTTGGCTTCCTGTGAGCACAGCAATTGCAAATGTTTAGGTTTTTGAATTTTTATTATTTAAAAGCCTTTATGATAGAGAAGCAGGAATGCAGAAGAACAGAGTTCCACACTGTTATCTTTCTGTGTGAATTGTAGCCTATTACTGTTGTCCTCTGCTGAAATGAAGCTGATTAAGCTCGTAAAAGCTGGATTTTAGACTTCCACATTTTGTTAGAGCAGAACTGAATTGTTCATTCCTCTGAGAGATACTGTATCAGACCCTCTTTAAGCAAATAGCACTGCAATAACTATTTTCAGTTTCCATAGGAGGATTTTAAAGTGTAATTTGAAAACTACTATTTATTGGGGGTTTGTTTGACCTTTTTTACCTATTTGTATTAATGAAATTTGCTATTCCAACGTAATCATAGGATTCTCATGAGAAGATGAGGAAATGTGCCTTTCAATGAGCACTACGGACACTTAAGAGTAGTAAGATCAAGGGGTAAGAGCACTTATTCCAGGGTTTTCCAATCTTAAAAAACTTAAATAGAAGCAAGCAGATATTTGAAAACTCTATGTATACCATGCTGACTTCAATCCTATTTCCTGATAAACTGTATTGTTAAATGAGACTCACAGTTCTAATATGATAATGGGAAAGATGATTAATGACCATGTGAGTCTCAGGTATCACAGCTGGTCATCTGCAAGAAACAATATAGTAGGTGTTAGTTGTTAGGACAGAGTTCCTGACAGAGACCATTGCCTTGGAGTACCTACAGGAACAGCCAAGACTGAAGGGCAAAATATGGAATGAGTGGGCACCAGCTCCTGTTCATTATTTTGCTGACTTAGGCAGTACACAAGATTCTTCCACGTTTTCACATATCATTTGATCTGTCATTTTCTTGCAGTCTGGATATATCATGTAACTTTGCAGGTCTCAGAAATTTTTCACTTAAAAAAGAACCCTTTATTAACTTTTGCTAGCCAAATATAGATGGATTTCCCCAAACAATTTCGACTCTGCAGCCTTCTTCATGAATTGTTTGCATTACACAATTGCTGATTTACATTCATTAACAGCTAATTAAAATGTAAGAGCTTGACAAGAATGTAAATTCATTAGCTAGTTCTTCATCTCATGCATTAAAACAAGAATAGAGTTTGTGCCATTGGGATGTTAAGTGATCACAAACAGGAAGCAGGATCATTGCAGTTTGGAGCAATTTTGAAGAAAACATAAATCCAGGTTGTGATAATCTTATGTTAATGACTAAGAAAGAGTACAAAACTAACACTGGAAATTACTCGTTAGCTAGTTTTATCTTCTGTCCTTGCTAAGCTTGTGTTTGCTCAGTGCAATAGGTAAGTCATGATAAAGTCTTGAAATGTTATTACCCAACAGTATATGTGCATTGAAAGAAACAGGGAATCAGAGAAGAAACATGCAACAGTTCACACAAAAAGCATCATATATTGGTGAATGCATTCCAATATATGTATAACTTCCTATAGACTAAACATAGGAGTTCTTGATGCAGATTTTACAAGCTGTAGTAGGTTTTACAGTTTAGGCTA